GGAGGGTAATATACACACACGGTCGACCGATCGATATTTCGGCTTTGTTGTGCGATTAATTATACCTATTAGCGAATCGTATTCGTCAATAAACGGCGGGATATCGGGACCGGGCGTAATTTAATTTACGATCTAACAGCGATCGCGTTACAACTGACGCGTCGCCGCGCCGCGATGAGCGCGACAACGGCTAATGTCGCGTGAAAATTGCGGTGCTTCCGGCATCCGAGTAATATTCGCCGGCGATTCGTTCGTTGGGATATTATCGTTCGGGAATGGTCATCGTTTTTCGATATTTAAAAGTAAGAACATTTTGTAGAGAACTTTCGACCAACAAATTTCCACAAAGCCCGCAAGATATCGATAGTCACGATCTAATCGAATTAAGAAAAAAAAAACAACCGTATTACCAGAGCACGACGGAACGATACGTAGAGTTCGAAGAGCAACGATCGCGCGAAACTTCGGCCCGCTAATTGCCACAGCGAGAGTCCAAGGAGGAGGGCTATCGATTGCCGTCGAGTGTTCGAAATTTCGTATGTTTTTTTTTCCTCTCTCTTCTATTTCGACCAATTATAAACGGGCAATCAGTTCGCGAAGCGGACCGTGCGCCATGCCACGGGATGCGCGCGTGTCTCCGCGTATATGTAAATGATCGGAGGTACGGCGAGCCCAGGACGCTAATTGATCCAGGAACCGTCGTCATTAGGCAACGGCGTTTAACGCGATTAAGTCGCCGGATTCGTATACGCGATAGCATGTCGTGCCGCTCTTTCCCAATCCGCAATGAAACGGTAACCGATCAAAAGCGCCGCATTACTTATGGCTGATTGATCGATAGAATCCCTCTCCACTACCCCCTCCCCCCTCCCCCGTCGGCCCTTTCTCCGTTCGTCACCTCCCCTCTCCGCGACGCGGAAGCTTTAATTCCACTGCGAGCCAAGCTTTCGATTCCTGGTTATTTGCGATCGAAATTCTCGTCGCGAATTCAATTCGATCACGGTCGATCCGAGGCCGCTGTTTGTTGTCGGTTCACGTGCAATCAGAGGGCCTCGATATCGCGACACCGTCATTGAATTGCGATTAAGGTTCGTGAAGAAGTGTCAATTTTCTGTGAATATATTTTAATTATAAAAATTAGAGAATTCTTTTACGATAATGTCTGAGAAAGGTATGGTACTATATTTAAATAGGTGGATATGGAGGTGTAAAGGGAAGATTGACTTTGTAGGTGAAGGAACGAAATTTTCCGGGCGAACGTAGGTCACTCGTCACCGAGAGACGAAAACTGCAAGAGCAGCTGGATTTTGCACCTTGCTAGATGGCCGCCCTCGCGGTCTTGCTCCTCGTGACCCAGTAATCGGTGATCGATATTTACGAGCGAGACGTTCGAACGTTCGATGTCGCGGGGAATGGCGTGAATACCTCGTGTGTGTCTCCATTCGAATCGGGTATATAGGGGAGCCTTTGTAAGACGAATCGCTGTTGAATCTTCTATATGTGTAACGAACAAAAATAGTGGAATCGAAAGTCAAATGACAAATTTCTAGTTGGAGAACAAACTTTTGTCCCCCGAAACTGTTCCGCAGAAATGTTTAATAGGTAAACCACTTTTTACCGAACTCGATATTTATTTTCAGAAGTAAGCATCAAAATTTTCATCGATCACGAGATTCACTGAATTCAAACTACATTGTAGTTTAAGCAAAGAAACAATACCTTAGTTGGTACACCTGGTATTACCAGGAAAACGTCGTTTGTCCCCGAGTTTTTTCCCAAACGCTTCGGAACTCGAAGACCACAAAGTCCCCTTTGATCACAGCGTGTCGTGGAACCAGGTCAAACTGGACTTTGCATGAGATTAAAAGCCGGGTCGGTCAACTTTTCGCCGGTTTTTATGGAAGTGTACCGACCCATCCTTCGAAGGCCCTTTACGTGGCTCTCCAGTGAAGCGGCAGAAAACAAAGAAATCGTGCGACGATCACAGGCTAGCGATTTTTACCGTGCATCGATTTCAAAAATAGCCTGTTCCTCCGATTCTTTTTTTCTTTTCTTCTCTCCTATACGTGGCGATATTCCTCCGTGGATACGAACCACCGATCGATTCTTATTCCGACGCCGTTCGTCCGCGTAATATCCGACAGGCACGAGAGCCAGCTTTCGTTTTCTCCGCCTCATCCCGACGCCCTTCCGGCGCGCCATCACCGCGTTGATGAAAACGAGAGGCCACTCGAAAACTTTACGGCCCCCTCTTCACGATTTTTTTCGTTCTTTTATTTTCATTGGCCAGCAATCGCGTCAAGCAACGCCGATCGACTCGTAGAGTGCCGGTCCAAACGAATCCTCGAGTAAAAAATTATCACGGTGAAAGCTAGTCCTAGAACTTTCGTTCATTAAGTTTTTCGAGCAACGCTTTTCGATATTGATTTTGGGTAGGTTTGTGGTTAACTTTTGATCCCGATTGATTTTTCTATCCACCTTTCCACCGGATTATATTGCTCACAGAATTTCCAGATAAAATACTGAAAATCTGAGTGTCTGATTGCTCTCGAGTCGTCACTTCTCGTTTGTTTTCCACGTTCTCCGTTTTGTTTACCGTTCTGTCGAGCGATTTTATCCAGCGGAGCCGAAAGTGGGAGCAAAGTGAGTTGGACAAAAGCTAGCCGGTTATCTTCGTGAAACTTTAAATAGCCTGGCCCGCGATTCGCTCCAGTCTCCGGAGCGATAAAATAAAAACAAAAAGGCAGAGTTTACACAGCAGCCATTACTCTCTAAGGGCGGGACTGCAATTTCCCTGGCGGAACGCGAGCTTCTTCTTATTAGCGGGTTCCAGCGAATTTCGCGATCGTAAATGGAAATTAACCCTTGCTTACCAGCTTCTCCGATCTATATTCCAGTCGAACTAGCTGTTCTTTTTCCCGTTAGGAAGCGTGATTACCATGAAACTCGTCAATTGATAGTCTAACCCAGAAAACTCACTGTGGTGTAACACTGACGTTTCAATAAAGTTGTAGCTCATATCAAGGTGTTTCTGAACTGGTGGTAGGACCCGAAAGGATGTAATTCTACATGTAAAAGTAAGTCGAAAATGTAAAATAAACTTTCCTCATATGATGCTTCGTTTCCAAGATAACCAATTTTCGAAATTCATCTAACACGTGTGCATTCATATTGACAATAAGTAGAAGGGGAATGTAAAGAACAGACGCGTTAACCGAGTCCCATTCAATTGCACACGCATCCAGTAGATTTTAAAATTAGATTGTCTCGAAAACGAAGCATCATAAAAAGAGATTTTATTCAACATTTTTTATTTATTTTTGTATGTAGAATCACATCCTTTCGGGTTGTACCATCAATTCCGAAACACTCTATACATATAGAGGCTACAACATTAACATTAAATATCCTATAAACTAATAGGTCATATGCAACAGGAATATCATTAGCTTCAGAATTCCAAGCTGTATCAATATGCTAAACGGCATTGAAAAGTCAGCTTTACACCTGGGGACCTTTCCTCCTCAAACGAGGGATTCAAGCAACGTTCTCCACGTTACACCTGCCTGTTGGGTTTGCCATTTTCCAGCACGGTGAATCCCTTCGAGTTCCACGGCTATCCAGGTTTTAGGGTCAAGGAAATCAGTGGGAGCCCGTTCAATTTTCTAATTTCCGGAAGCGCGTTCGTCGAAATGAATGAGCACCGTGGTCTGACCACGGACGACCCTATCTACTTCGAGCCCAATTCCACCTGGCCCGGTGTGAATGAAATACGTGACTTTGAAGCCCCTGCAGATCCTTTCGACGACGAATGACTGTGGGGCTTGAGGTGCTTCTGGGTAATGATCGAAATCCATAGGACACGGTTTCGGTGATCGAAGGAAGGTGTTATTACCGACTTTTACAATCGTTGTCTCGACTACTGACGGCGACAGGATCCTTTCCGCGATTTTCGTCGAGATTTCCAGGCTTTCGATTCCTCGAATCCGCGTAACTTTTCAATTTGGAAGCCGGGATACGGCCTGGTGGTAAACTCGGGGAGATTTCGACACAGTTCTCCGCGCGAAACTGAAAAGAGACAAAGGGAAAAGAGAACGGAAACTTTTCGGATTCGGAGCGGAAAGTGTTTCTCTGGGCGCGCACGATCGGCACCCCCGATCGCTGTTAAGCGGATTTACGGTCGCACGTCCGGACGTTTCACCGGCACAGCGGAGCAGGTAATGACGTTAAGAGGATCCCGGAGCTTGCGGTGGCCCATGCGCTCACCTACGAGCACCGGTTCGAATGAGAAGCGCGCGTTCGCCGTCTGGTGAACCTCCGTTTTTCGGCCTGCATTGTTTCCCAGCAAACGGTCGTCTTCTTGATTTACTTCGATCGTTTGCAATTGGTTGTGTCGCTTCTGGTTACAGCAAGGACTCGTTAGATCGTCGTAACTTTGGTCTTAAAGATAATCTCAGATTGAACTTAAGAGGTGGGGCGAATGAATTAAAAAAACAGTCGAGATGAGTGGTAGAAGAAGTCTCGAGCAGTTGACGAATCTTTACTGTAACTGTCATAACCCCTTGCCATACGATTTCTGTTACGACTTCACTCTCAAGAATTACTTTATCGTTAATATTTTCCGAGACACAAAAGAAATTCTACTCTTATGGCGTGTCACATTTATTCGAAACCTTAAATGTTAATACCAGCGGAACAGTATTTCACGTCAGTGTTAAATCAAATTCAGTGTTAAATCGTTATCACATTGTTTCATGTGAAACAAATCTTGGTAAAGTGCATTCCTCTAGTTTAGTTTCACTATACATATAAGGAAGAATGAACAGAAAGTGAGAATGCTACACGATTTTTCTCAAGATCTCTATATCGACTGGATATTCCTTTTGGAGTTGAATTTCGAATGTTAGAACGGTTAAAAGCGAATCCATCAGCACCGCCCGTAAAATTACCGCGATCAATCAAACAACCGAAGCGTAACGCCGGGTGAAATTCTGTTTCAGTTACCTGGAGATATACAACGAGAGGGTGAGAGACCTTTTGAAGCCGTCCTCGAGCACAAGCGGATTGAGAGTTCGCGAGCATCCTCGACTCGGCCCTTACGTTCAAGGTACCGGCAATCGCGGGGGATGCCAGAGCCTCCGAAGCCTCGCCGGCCGGATAATTGCGATCTTCGGAGAACTTCTTTTCAGCTCCTCTTGCTCCAAGGAACCTATCGAACGTCACGAGGATTTCCCCGAGATCCTTCGGTCGATACCTTACACCTTGTGATTTGCAATCCTCCTGTGTATCGCGGTTCCATAGACTCTTCCTGACTTTCTTCCCCCCTCTCCAAACCTGAAACCCGACGGATTTACTTTTAATTAAATCTTCGACGAAGTTCGCCTGTTTCGTTCTTCCCTTCAGAGATGAAATTCCCTGACTTGTTATCTTGTACTTCATCGAAATATCGACAGTCAATCTCTTCTGTTGTTCCTCAGCATTCAGTTTCCATTCCTCCGAGTTCTCGCGTATAGACTCTTCGATACCATTCGTGGATAGATTTACTAACCAGGTGAACTTGTTAAATAATTTTTTTATCGCTTTCATCTCGTTCTGCAGGTCTGACCCACCACGTGGTCCGCACCCTGGGGTCGTTGATGTCCTACGTGGAGGAAGGGACGAAGGCCCGTAAGACAGCTTCGACCCAGCTGAACCCAAGCAGCAGTCGGAGCCACGCTCTGCTGACGATCGCCGTGTCGCCGGAACCGTCGACGGTCCCGCACGGCGCTTCTTCCACCGTCTCCAGTTCCGCGAGGAGGAAGAGCGAGGCCTCGCCACGCGGTGGCAGTAAACTACGCTTGGTCGATCTGGCAGGCAGCGAGAACGCGGCCACGTGCAGCGGCGTTCATCGACTGAAGGTGAGTCACTCCCCAGAAATAATATCGTCGTTCGTCTACTCTGTGAGCTGCGAAGCGAGCGGAGAGATCGATAATCCTGGGAGCAGTTTTCGAAGCTATATGTACGTATAGTCCATGGCCACGATATTGTGTCCTCGTAAGATTAAGTGTTCAGTAGGGTCGTCTATTCGTGTTACCTCGCCAAAGGGCTGTTACACGCTTCGCGGGTGCCAGGGTCGCTGTAAGTGGTCCTAACATATGTATCTAGAAGCGGTCTGAATCCTAAATTGATCAAAGCTACGCGGTACAGTAAATCCTTGATTAGTGTGCGAGGGGTACGCAGCACTGACAAGAAGAGGTCCCCGGATGTAACGCTGACTTTTTAATGAGGTTTATCACAGCGAGAGCTGGGAATTCAGGAGCTAATGATATTTGTTTCAACCCCATATGGTCATTAGTTTATGAGGATTTACGGTATTTCGCTTTTGCCGCCACCTACTCAATAGAGATTAGCGTATTGAGAAAGATTATACTGTAGGTAACCAATTTCGAACTGATATTGCACGGTCCTGAAGATACCCGAGTGTCTCACATTACAGTTTCGCCTACCGAAACGAGGCAACTTTTACAACTTAATGGTTTTACGAGGACACAATATCGTGCCCGTCGACTTTACGTATCCATGTATCTTCGAGCGACCGCCATATTCGAGCGCTCCGAAGAACAAATTGAATTCTCACCATTCGAAACTGGTCGTAGACGCGTCCAAAGTGGTGGGAGAAATTTGCACAGAGAAGATTGCCCGTGTTTTTATAGGAGGGCGCGAACATAAACAAGAGTCTAGTGGCTCTAGGGAACGTAATATCAGCCCTCGCGGAGAGAGGCTCGACCGGAAGTGGTCCAGGCAGGAGGTTCATCCCTTACAGAGATTCTTCGCTTACTTGGCTGTTGAAGGACGCACTTGGCGGAAATGCCACTACCATTATGCTCGCCAGTAAGTGTCTTTCCCCTTTGATCTTCCCTTCTTTCTGGCCTCTCACTTTTCTCATCCCCCGCGATTCGCGAGTCCTCCGCCCCCTCACTCTTTCACTCTTCTAACCCCGTGCCATCTACTATCGCGTCGCATTTATTTTTAGATCACTACGTTCTTCCCGTGTATCCTTCCCCTGTTAAACGATGATTTACACGTTCGAAGCTTTCATTTTCAACGTCCCTAGTGCCACAACCCCTCCCCCTTCCCTTGGTCCGTCTGAATCCGTCGCTAATCCGTTTTACGTTCGTTCCAGATTCTCCCGTGGAACGTTCCCGTTCCATTCGAAACGCCAGTCGCCACACTCCATCTCGCTCTTTTTCCCCAGCTCGGTCTCCTCCGCGGTGATCGCGATATTTAATTCGGGAAGACGACTCAGCTTCCGGGACGCGACAAAAAAAATTGGTCGCCGTTTTACTACCCCTATCCCCCTTCTGGTTCTCTCCTTTCCTCCTTCCAGCACTTAACTAACTCTCTCTCTCTTTACGGCTTTCCATAAATTCCGGTTAATTGCCAGAGGTGGAATTATTATCGCGTGGCGAGCCTCTGATTCATGAAATTATACCCGCCGCGATACCCGGAGACCCGCCGACTCCTGGTCCGGATGGTAATTGGTTTAAATGCTTTTCCAGGCGAGCTAAGGCGCGCGGCCAGAATTAAAATTCGATAACCGGCCCGCGAAAACCGTAGTAACACGGAATCGGTAAATACGAAAATGATGAATCTATCTCTCTCTCTCTCTCTCTCTACGCTCAGCTTCGTCGAACGTTGTTGCTTCGACAGCGCAAAATGTAGAATTGAACCGATTGGAACACACACCTTATTCTCACACGTAGTTGACCGATCCGTGGATCGGTGTTTGTACATATTTGATTGGAGAACCATAGTAGTGTAACTCTCGCAAAACGGGCCGGCCGTAAATCTTGTAGAATTTGAACGTAGTTAGAGAACGCACGTAGAAATTATAATCTAGGTACACGGTGGAAATTGTTCTTTTTTTTGTATGTGTCTCGTGTGGGACAGGTCTGAAAATCGTGGTGGATTCGGAAAAATACACTACTGGCCAAATGTATGTGACCAGAGTTTATGATTGATGGAACAGTAACTTGTTATTCTGTTACGGTACAACAAAAGTTGCTTTTACTTTATAAAATCAAATTACTGGCTAGAATTATTTTCCGATAAATATTTTCACAAGAATCACAAGTATTCTCGTTTATATCTGCCGAGTCAAAGCATTGCAGGAAAGAAAACAAATCCAATTTCCATCACGATTTCCAGTCTACTCCGTGCAACAATAAGTGTACATAATATATGCCATACAGCTTTGTGTTAAAGCGCCACCGGGAATTCCGCGGCGCTGCAATTTGTAATAACAACGAATCGCGTTTAGCATGGATTATTTGATCCCCCTGGGAAGGGTGGCACGGTAGCGCCCTAACGAATTAGAGAATATAATTAACCGGGTAGAGGGTTGAAACAAGAGAAAAACGACGAGCTAATTGGCACTCGGCCGGTCTCGCGGAAACGGAAGAATCCCCAAATATTCCTAGGCCGAACAGGATACGCGTATAATTAATCGCCGCGAAATATTCCAAACCGCTGATCATCGACGGCTAATTGAATTGCTAATAGCATTCGGGTTTATTATCAGCGAAGGTGGGGGGTTGGGCACGTTTAATATTCAGTGTCTATGTTTATGATTGACCGCGTATCGAATGGACGAGGGGGTGTAGAACCACCCCATAGGTACTTTGTCGAATTAAATCCAGTGTACAAACGTGCAGTACGTTCTTTCATTTCTCTAAAAAAAATCAATCATTTTCTCGTATCATTAAAAAAACACGAAGATATTTCTGGTGAAATTCTTAGGGGACTTATCCAGTATAATATAGAAGTCTGTGGTGTCGCCAAGTTTTCAATTGAAATCGCGGGTCCGAAAACAAACGTTTATTCGATTGTGCGTTCCTCCCTGAAATTCAATTACTCACAGACCGTGGGGGGCTGCGAAACCTGTACAAAGGCGGGTAATGAATTGATTCACGGTGATATTTTATCCGTACAACATAGTCGCCGCGATTAATTATCGGGTCGCTTATCGTCGTTCGACGGCTGGTCCCCCAGCGCCATATCACCGCGAAAAAACGGGATGAGTTGAGTCGCGAAAGTGGCCGCCGACATTCGTCGGTTCCACGGTCTGTCGATTCATGGTCGCGATGGTACAATGCGTTTCTTGTTAATTACGAACCGTGTTCTCTGCACCGTCCTCGTTTTACAGCGATATCGCCGGCAAGCGGAAGCTACAACGAGACCGCGCACACACTGCGATTCGCGCAAAGGGCTCAGAGCGTGGTCAACCGGCCGGTGGTCAACGAAGATCCGGTGGCGAGGGTGATCCGCGAGCTGAGGGCGGAAGTGGCGAGGCTGAAGTCGCTGTTGCTGGAAAAGGCAAGCATCGAAACAGTTTCCCTTGAAAAGTAACATCGTAAATGGTGGAAGGTGGATCGAAATCTATTGAACCAGGAACGAATGTAACAATTTGCCTTTTTGAGTCTGTAACTTTTACATTTCCTGGATTGGGGAGAGGGGGAGAGGCTCGGCTTCGGACAAAAAAAAATTTCCGTCTTGCCATGAATGGTCCGAAGCGGCCAGAGTTCGTCGCTCTCAACTATGAAGCCATCCTATAATTTTCAAATCTTATGTATATTATAGTTAAAATAAAAACGTACCAAGTATGCGATTTCTGAAATCGTGTTGAGAAATAATGTTTGTCCAGAAAAGGATAGATTGCCTGTTGGCGACAGTTAAAGTGCAGGGCAGATGGAATTCGAGTATAAAAATGGAAGGAAAATATTGTTGTCATTCGTCCCAAGTCTCCCCTAATTCACGATATCGTGCTCGCATTAAACAAACAAACGGCGCTTTCCCGCGCTGGAATACAAACGAACGCGATCGTTACACGTCGTCCGGGGGGTTACAAACGTAAAAATAAATTAAGTGAAATCTCTCGCGATGGTACCGGGTAATTGGAGAGAGAGTCTATTTATAATCGCGGGGGAAGGGGCTTGATTTGCAATCGGGCGATTACAAAATCGCGCGCGTTCTCCTAGAACGAGTGTGGTGTCCCGTTCGGTCGGGCGTGGATAAATCGCGCGAGTTTATTATCGGTGTCTCGGCGCAACATAAACTCGCGCGTACGAACCCGTCATTACGCAAATGAAATGCATGAATCGTTTATTTGATACTCATTGACCGACCGCCGTCGGGGTATCCGGGCCGCGATTGCTCGAACGAACGATTGCAGATAAAATACAGCTCGCAGGTGCGTGCACGCTTAACGAGTGATCCGCATTACGATTCCACGCCATTGGCGAAGGTGGATTTTACAATATCCTTCCCCTCTCTCTCCCACGTATTATGTAATCGATCATTAATTAGCGGCATCGAATTTCTCATTATGATGACTATATCGCGACGAACGATTTTCACGTTTCACAGTAGGCTATGGCAATTGGTTTAAGAGCCTTTCCACAGAAAACACAGCATGTCGGTTTTCGACGAAATTTCCTACTTCCAAAACATCGAATTGATAACTCTATTGCGGGTTTCATTCATTTATGATCGACCGAAAGATAATAAAATGAAAGCTGATGAAGATTAACGTACATATTATTTCGTATCATACCTAATAATCCGTGTTTATCTCGGAGTTACTGAAGCACCGTTGCGTTTTGCAGAATATCGAGCCGGACAAGGCGTTGTGCTTTTGCCAGAAGTACCAGTGTCTACCAACGTATCATCCTGACGTTCTGGAGGTATCAACAAAGGAATCGCAAAGGCTGCCAATCGAGCCGTTCGAGGAACGAGTCCTAGAGTCGGACGTCGAAAGGGATCAGAGGGAAGGGAGGACGGAAGAGGAGCAGTTCTCCAGGAGCATCGTTCCACTTCGAAGGTCAAATTCCACCGACAGTCTCACCCTTTGCGACGCCGGTTCATCCCTGAAGAGATTCGGCTCCCACGAGTTTTTGTCCAAGGACCGTTTCGGCGAGCATTACAATCGCGCCAGGGTGACAGAGCTGAACGACGAGGAGGACGAGGTCAGCGAGATTCACGAGTCCGTGTTCGTCGACATCCCAACTTTAGTCGCGGTATTGATCAAGCCGGACGACAGTCTGCAGGAGTCCTCGACGCAGATCGAGGAGATCTGCTCGGACGAGACGGCGGAGGACGGGATCGACGTCGAGTTCATCGAGTCTGTGAACGATCACGCGGCGTTCGAGGACCCTGAGAAGCCGGAGAGCATCGATCACGACGAGAGGAGCAGCTCGGTGAACTCCTGTCACGCTTCTGGGGACAACGAGGCGGATGTTTATCGAACCACTGACTACACGAGATCCGGTTCGAGGTTGAAGGAGAAGCCGAAGTTCCGAAAGCAAGACACGGTGGACATACTGTCCACCTCTATTCCGTCGAATCTTCATACGTCGAAGAGATTCGGATCGGTGGAAACGATCCAGAAAAAGAAAGAGCCCATCTTCTCTTTGGAAAGGTCTCATACGAATCTAGAGAGAAGATTCGTGGCCCCAGAAAGGGCAAAGAAATTGAACAACATCAGAGAGATCGACGACCAAAAGGTTGGCACTAGGAACCTCTGGAGAGGTAGCAAGGAGCAGCTTCAGAGAAAGAGTAGTAACGACTCTGACAAGAGTCTGAAGGAAGCTGGTAGCCATATCGGGGCGAAGGCGAAGAGTCACGTGAGGAAGCCTAGTTTGGAGAACCTGAAGAGGAAGACCAGCAAGGACAGCAGTTCGAGCAGCTCGAAGGACGAGCAGATCGTGATCTCCAGTCTAGCCAGGGAGAAGCTATTGCACAGGAAGAATTCTCTGGAGCAGGAATCAGCCTCTGTCAGGGCTCACACGCCCATACAACGTGCCAAGCGAGCGGAGATCGTGGCCGCAGTCACGGAGAGGTTGTACTCGAGCAAAAAGGTCCCGGAGGATGCCTCCGGGATCAGATCGCCGCCAGAGGGAACGGAGGTCAGGTCGTTGGCTAGGATGAAGCTGCAGGAGATCTCGAGGAAGATGCTGGGGAAACGAAGACGCGTTTGCGTGGACACGCAGACGGATTGCTCGCGGACTGTTCGGATGAAGGACACTGCGTCTTCGACCGAAACGCCTGAGATTCAGGATGTTGGAGTCGTAACTGATGATCATGAGGGCTGTGAAATCATCACAACCCAGAGGACGCCTGTTATACGCGTGAAAGAAATCGCCACCTTGACGGACAAACCCAAAACAAACATTGTCAGATGCAAGGACGTGGCCAGTCTGGCTACTGACCTCGACCAGTTCGAGTACGAGATTCATTCCCCTCGTAACGATTCGGGGATTCTATCCGATGACACCCAGAACTACGCTGAGAGTAATTTATCCAGCACTGAGGTTTCTGATTTTTGTCAGGAACCTGATCGAAGAACTATGCATGCCGAGAGCTCAACCAACACACTTTACTCATCCTGTCGGAGCTTCGCAGTTCAAACACCTCGACGCAACGTCCTGAACGAGCGAAGGATAGAAAGTAAAGCTCCTGCCTGTTTAAGAGCGTCATTTCCATATCGCTACCGGACACGATTAGCATCACCATCGAAAGCACGAACGTTCTAGAGTCCAGAATTGCTGTGATGGACACTCTGGACCCGGAGAAGATCAAGTCCAGCACGAAAGACGGCGAGGTTCAAACGGAGGAGTCGAGAGGTCTTTATAGCGAGAGCGTTTGTTCCAACGATTCCTGTAGATCGACGCCCAGCCAGACCGACAGCCGTGTGTTTCGGATCGAGAACATCTTTCAGGACCCTAACAACGCGTCCAAGAAGACGGACGTCGCTGCGGACCAGGCGGAGGGGACGCGGATGAGGAATTCCATTACTTTCAGGAATTCCCTGGGGACTTCGTACGTGTCGCAGGCCAGGGAAGGCGAGATTGCCAGTCCCGAGACGAGACGGCACCGCGGTGAAGGATTTATCGGGGACGGCTTAATCACAGAGGCGTTCATCACGAAGAAGCGCGGCCACGAGTTCGGAAGAGGACCCAGCGCGATCGTTTACGGGGATCCGTGGAGAAAGTGGTCGCTTGGGCCTGGCCCCGTAAATACGATTCGCTCCATTGATTATGCCAAGGGGCTGGAACCCTCCTCTTGGCAGTGGCGGACCAGCGAGATCCCAGTGGCCGGACTAACTTTGTCCTGTTCGAACTGCGTATTGTTGGAGAACGGTTCGACGTTTAGGCAGATGGACACTGATGCAGTTAACGTCGAGCCGAAAACTTCCTCATCGACTGTGCTGGAGACGAATAACAGCAGTATCGAACACGATCATAGTTTCTCGGATGACAGTTTGGATTATAACGAGAATAATGCGTTGGGTCAAACGGTGCTGAAGGTGGATGACTGCGAGCTGAGGGAGAGCCTTTGTCCACCTGACGTGGTGGCGCACACTAAGAAGGATTGCCCTAAGCTCTCGAGTACACTCGAGACGGAGACGATAGAGTCCTCGGGGGATTTCGAGGAGAGCCATCTCGAGTTCCCAAAGATGAAGCCAACCGAAGGAACGGAAGTCATGCAGATACAGGATTACAAGTCCCTTATCTTAGGCAGTCCCTGTTATAGCCACGAGGAAGCGAACGAAGACTCCGATAGTTCGTGTAATCGTGTTAATCATGATGGAAAGAAGAAGGTATCTTTTTTGAACACCACCGAGTGTGAAACCAAGATTCCCTCAGCTCAAGAATCCTCGAAGCAGGGATCAAAGACGACATTGAAGTCAATCATTAAGAAAAGGAAGAAGAGAAACGTGTCGGAGCTCTCAAGCAACGTTCAATCGTCGAACGATGAGACTGACGATTCGCAACAGGAAGAGAAAAACAATGTAGTGCCGGGTAACCACTGGAAGGAACAAGTACAGTCGACTAGTGCCGAGGAAACGTTGAAAAAAAATTTCGATTCTGTGGATTCACGGATGGACACGAAGCAGAACAATAAGAAAGTGAAGTTCCTCTTGGAGGATCTATCGGAAAACACGTGCAGCGAATCTGACAGTTGTGAGAACGCGGAGGACGAAGAGGAAAATGCCCCGTGTGGTCAACCCACGAGGAACATCCTCGAGGAGTACCTCAGCGAGGCAGTGACCTTCATGAAGAACTTAAACTCCATCAACGAGTACGTGAATACTGCGAATATGCTCGAGAGGTGAGACAGTGCAAAGATATTCCAATTAAATTGATATATAGTGGACAGAGGATTCGATTTTTGTAGAGGGTGAATTGTGTAATGTTCTTATTGTATCTTGACTAAATTTTTATGAAGTAACTTTACTACAAAACAAAATTTATTTTATTAAGAATTCAATTTACTGAACCGTTCAGTGCAATAAATTTCAGACAATCCTGCACATGATAAAATGCGTAATCTAAACATGACACTTGTTGAAGACAGTAGACAACTTCCTTATGTAAATAATTAGTAGTCTTAGCCATTTCCTGTCTGACAATATGTAATTCCACTAAAAAGAATTTGCCTATCACAAAATGAACTAAGTAAACGCGCCAAGATTAAGAAGATTAATGTAATTGATTCTCCAAACAGGTACTCCTCGCCCACTCCCCAGAAACGTGTTGGGAAGCAAGGGACACGTCGTAGGAGCTGTTCCTCGTGGGATCGCGATTACCTGGAATCGGCGGGTCATAAGGTCAGCTTAAAGGACGACACCGACGACGAGCATCTGAAGGGGGACGATGATATCGTCGTCTCCACGGAGTCGTACGACCAGTGTCTGAAGGGTATCCAAAGGCTGGAGGACTGTATTCGTAGGGTGGACATACATAACGAGCAGCTTCGTGAGAAATACGGTGTCAATTTCGAATCTGCTGGCGCTAGACTAAGTTTAGCGAGTCCTAGCACGGATCGTGCACCTGCGACGAGCGATTTCGCGATTCCAGGTAAAAGGGACACCGCCATTCTTAGGGGAGACGTTTCCGAGGACACGACTCACCCTGGATTCATCGAATACCGTCCACGATCGGATTCACGTTCGATCGATGAATCCGTTAAGGCGACGAACGAAGATGACGATCTAGAGAAGACTATCTTCGATCAGCTGATGAACGTCGCGAACTCGACCAGGTGCAGAAGTTACGGAAAGTTTCAGAGTCGACTGACCAAACCGTCTGATCCTAAACCCCGAAGTCCCACCACTTATTCGAAACTTCGCGAGAAGTATAACCACGGGACGAAGGAGCCACTTTACGGGGACTTTCAGGGATGCTTGAACCTCGATGAGGTTTCGGGGAACGATGAACGACAGGACTTCACCAGTTACGAGATAACTGGAAACCTATCCGTCTCGAGAAGTGCTACGACAGCGGGTTTCAACGATCCAGAGTCCCCGATCGAGGAAGATTTTTCACCTTCGAGAAGATTCGAGCGTATCGAGAGAAGGCTGCAGGTCGATATCCCCTCTTCGAGAATGTATCACGATGATTCGTCGAATGGTTTATTTAGAACAGTCACGGATTCAGGGATCGGGGATGATGATTTGTCAGGAATGACAGGTTCGAGAACGAACATTTCGCAACGCGTTTCGAACGACGATACTCGAGAGAGGTTCCGTGAATCGGACGATTATTCGCGAAGAATCAGGGACGGTGGCTCGAAAGTGTGCGTGTGCTCGAGGGATCAGGATATCGAGGCGAACGAGATTATGCAATTCAGGGACAAACTGAAATACCCCGGAAGTCCTAGAGCGAGGTTCCTGGAACTTCTGAGGGAACGACGACGGATCGTCGAGAGCAGCAGAGGCACGAGCGCCTCTTGAGACCCATTCGAGTCGTTTCATCAAATTGTAAATTGTTTTTCTATCGTAACGCGTTAACGACCTTACGTATCTTGTAAATAAGACAGTCAGACTTTTATAACGTTTGTCAACGCACCCGGCGTCTTTAACTTATTGATCTTCACACACTTTTAATCTGTATCACTCGTGTAACTCGCCCTCTTCCCCCCTTTTCGTGATATTAAAAGATCTTCCTGAAGAGTGTGCATTTTTTCCTATGTAACAGATGGTATCGTTAAGAGAAAATTTTATTCTTTTTTACACAAAAACTGACGTAGTATAGCTATAATATTTTAAAGAGCGTTTTGTATTCAGAATGACACTAGTCTTCTCACTAACAAGGGAACAATATCGAAATGACAATCACCGAATTTTATGCAACACTGTGAGAAAATGATACTCCTAGAAATATTTTATTAGTTTGGTCAAATATCTTGAACACTTCTCAACCAAATGCATTTCACACCCCTAATTTTGAGGATTTTTTTCACCTCTTCCACATGGATGACAACAGTTAAAAAAAATACGAGTCAAATATTCTTACGACAACTACTTCTTACTTTCATCAAAATCGATGATTGCCACTTCGGTATGTTCTCCAGTTTCAAAATGAAAAACGAACAGAATTTATTCAGCAACCCATTATAAGCCGTCTAAGACCCACAAAGTTGTAAGAGACATCTGAAGATTACCGTCTGGTAAATAAAGTCGTAGAAAAATGGCAGAACTTTCTCTTAGAAGTTTCTTTTTATACAGCCGGTTTTGTTCCAAGCATTTCAGGGGTCGAAGAGCTGACGCACGTGTCGCGAAACAAGAAACACGATCGTTCCCGGCGATAACTGCGACAGTAACGATCCGTGCGTGACGCCTTCTCTCACCTGGTCCACCGAAAAATACGACCAGGCGAAGAATCGGCTGGATCGACTCGTTCGAGGAATTTTCGCTGGCTAAGGGAGGATACATGCAAGTGTGTAAGAGTGTCGACGGTCCAACCGTAAGCTTTTTGTCGAAGAAACATATCTGCATGGTGCTGCACGCGTAAATTAGCATCGTTACGCTTGCATCAGCGTAGAAAACGTATATGAGGAGACTACAGGACACCACGTTTCTCCAGATTCCAGGCTTTTTGAAAGATCAGGTTTGTTTCACGGGGATTGGATAGGAATGTTTGTAAATTGAAATGATCCGCGCGACAGCGTTTGCCCGATTAGGCGGTAACGACGAGATTCGTTACATCTGTGTTGGTGCATGACGGGTCTCAATAACGCGTGCAAAATTATCGTCGGGGAAGAGGCTTCGTGATTGACGTATCGATACGTGGCTGACGTCGTCGTAACGAGGATGGAGTCTCGGCGAAGGAGGGATAGGACGGAAACGGAATAAATTTAAAGATCAACGATTCGAATTGCTAAGTGTTTCTAAATCTCATTCTAGTTTTCATCTATCTGTTTAGTCACTTCTAATTAATTATGACAAGAAAGTTGTCTAATGCAATTCACAATGGGACGTACAACACCTCAGCTCCAGAAGACTAGCCATTTTATTTTCCATTTAGATCGTACGATAGTGTGTCGATCGTGGTGACCCTTGCACTTTATAATTATTCAGCAGTGGTCTGTACACATTTGGTTTACACTTTCGTCATCGTAAATCTCTCCTACCCCGGATAACTTTCGGTTCACTGTGACCGCGGCGTTAATCGCACGAAGTATAAAGGGCAAGCACCATCAGCGAAAACAAACGATCATCGAGCGAACAAGAACGTGTCGAGGGCATCTTCTATAGCGCGATAATTTTCTTCGGCTATCGGAACCTTCGTTTCGAGCTCTATCGTTCTAGCCGGGGTTATCTGCGACCAGAAACTACGCGATCGTGATTCACTGGGACCAGTCGATTTCGGAGCATCTAGGCGCGTGGACGGAACCGGAATCGGACCACGTGTCGGTCGAACGAGACATACCGTTGCAGGATCCAGGGATCGACGATGGTTCGTTCTTGTTCTAATATTGCGTTTCGAGATGGTGTAAGTTTTTCGAACTTGTGTGCAATTAAGAGATCGTTTGACCTGGGCAGTGGAATATTATTAAACGATCGCGTTATCGCGAAAAGACAGCGGAAAAACTGCATAACGACCCGCGAGAACTGTGACAATCACGAGACTTGGAATTCTCTGTCTGGCACGAGGTCGAAGGTCAGCGCGATAAACAAGCGTCGAAGCGGTACGCGTGGCGGGATACACGATCGAATAAGTAACTCGGCCGATTCGCTAATGTTCGTAGTCCATTTTTGACAGGCGCTACAGTGTTCGAGCTCCGTGGTTCAATTATGAGGGACTTGAACAAGAAGTCGAGCTCGCAGCCCCTACTCGAGAGTCACACGCTCGATCTGATCAACGGAAGCAGGAGTAACGATCATGATTCGGACCTTCACGTAATCATCTCTGCGTCAGCGTTTTGTCGTTCTGAGATCACGCTGATAATTCGATTGCGTTTATTATGGTAGTAGAACGGAAGAAATCGAATGATCGAGTCCTTGTCGTAATAATGCTGTTCTTGTTGAAATGTATCCTGTTCAAGTGTCGCGATCTCTTGTCCCGTTTCCTGGCGATACTTCCGACCGTGCAAGATCTGCATCGATACGGGTGGAGTGATCCTTCAGCCGGAGTGTCAAAATTGCTGCATTTCTGTTCACAGAACAATGAAGAGCAGCTGGTCGATCCGTTTTGTGTCGAGGAGAACCCTCAGAAGATCACCTTCGAGGACATCACATCGGCTGCTTTCAAGATCAAGTGTGGGATCATTAACACCCCATGCGTGGTACGTCTCTTGTATGTTGATGTTTAAAAACGTGATGAAAATATTTTGATTTTGTCAATTCTCCAGCGGTCACGGTTGTCGGAAGCGACCGGTATCGATCTATACTTGAAGAAGGATTTCCTTCAGAAGACCGGAAGCTTCAAGGAACGGGGTGCAAGGTACGCCATCGTGAGGCTGAACGATGAGCAGAAGAAGGTCGGTGTGATATCGGCGTCGTTGGGTAACCATGCTCTAGCTCTTTGTTACCACGGCTACAAGCTCGGTATACCGGTTACTGTAGTGATGCCAGTCGTGGCGCCGATCATGAAGATCACGGCCTGTCGGCAGTATCGGGGCAACGTGATCGTAGAAGGCCGCGACATGGGAGAGGCGAAGCGTATCGCTCTTCAATACGCCAGAGACAAGGGACTGACGTACATAAATGGGTACGAGAATTTATTCGAGAAGATTTATACCGATACGAATTTAATTCTCCGTGAGCAAACATGTATTTACGTCCAAATCTAATTTTAAAAACCTGACTTATCGAAGTCCCTACTACATCATTCAATTATTTGTTAAGTCAAATGTCTGAAGCTTTTGTCAATAAGAATGAAAATTCGGGAGAATGGGAAGACTTCGGTTGTCAAAGACCTATACAACCTATGGAGGGTTAGTCGATCGATTGAATGCCAGATCAGGAATTTAGAGTTTGCTAACCTACTCTGTCCATGATCTTCCTTTGTCTAATAACTCTAATATACTGGTAGCTAATTGCATTTCCTCGATTTTATGCGATGACTGTACACACTTGTATAAAGAATCGATTGATCCACGTTTCAGCTACGATCACCCGGATATCATGGCGGGGCAAGGAACGCTGGGCTTGGAGATCGTGGAGCAAGTGCCAGACATCGACGCGGTGGTGGTTCCAGTCGGTGGGGGCGGTCTGATCGCGGGTGTAGCTCTTGCAGTGAAGACACTCCATCCGAACGTAACGATCATCGTGAGTCATCGTGTGTCTACATGGACATTTATCTTGTTTTTTACCGGGGCGGTTCTTGTTGCCTCTTTTAAAAGACGAATTATGGGTTTTCGCCTCTCTCTTTCTTTGTGGAACTATGAGAACATTTTTCCGCTGTGTTCCAGGGCGTTGAGTCGGAAAGGTGTCCCAGTTTTTACATCGCACGGAAAGCGAACCGGCCGGTGTACACCCCCATAGAGTCCACTTTGGCGGATGGTTTGGCGGTGCCTATGGTTGGGTACAACGCTTTTGCCACGGCGAACCCATTGATCGATAAATTGGTGGTGGTGAAAGAGGAGTGGATCGCAATTGCGATCCTCAAGCTGGTCGAGAACGAGAAATGTATCGTGGAGGGCGCTGGCGCGACAGGACTGGCCGCCATATTGGCTGGGCAATTGGAGGATTTGAAAGGGAAAAGGTTCATTTCAATTTCATTCTCTAGTTTTCGAATTCGATTTCTATTTCACGTTGCTGATCGGAAATGTGCACCCAGTTCATCGAATCTATGGAATATTATTTATCTTTTTATTATTTTATCAGGGTGGTGTTACCTCTCTGCGGAGGGAACATCGACACAACCATATTGGGCAGATGCCTGGAACGAGGCCTGGCGGCAGAGGGACGCCTTATGAAGTTCACGGTGACGGTGACCGATCGACCGGGCGGAATCGCGGAACTGTGCAGAATGTTAGCCAGCATCGGTGTGTCGATAAAGGACATCATGCACGAACGGGCATGGATCATGTCGGACATTTTTAGCGTGGACGTGAAGGTGGTATGCGAGACCAGGGACAGGGAGCACGCGGAGCAACTGAAGAACATGTTGCATCAGAATTATCAGAGAGTGGTGTTCGGTACCAGTGACATGTCAATCCTGAACGTGTAATAGGAAGATTTTTACCTTGACGATACGACGATCGAAATATTTGAGACCTGTGAAATTTGTCGACTATACGATCATCTTCGAGCCTGAGATCCAGGATGAAGTCGTCTATCGTTCATAAGTTTAGAATCATAATAAATATTACAAGACGATCGAAACTTTCAAGAAATACTATAGGTGTTCCTCGAGAGAAATTTAATAGGCTATTTATGCCAAAGCACGAAAGTTCAAACCTGAATATCTCAAAGGCAAAACGAGCCGAGTGTTCGAGCACTCGCTAATCGTGAACGACTAGACATAGAATTGGTACGTAGGATATTTATCAATTCTCACTGTACGATAATCACCATCGAAGTTTGTACATATAAATAAAAATATCGCCTCGAAACTTCCGTCGGGAGTGGAGAAGTAGCTTCCCGAGCCCGGACGTGGGATCGATGGCCGGGAAATTCGAGAGCCAGCCGTACGCAACGAAGGGCGTAAACGTACCACCGCCGCGGCGAAAAATTTATCGCAGAGAGAAACGCGTAGCACGGTAAAATTCGCGGCTCGTGCGCGCGCGTGCCGGTTGCCTCGTCAGTTTTATGCCCAGCGAACGTTGGGTACGTGTTGCTCCGCAGCTTCTGGGTTTACGCGGATATGATTGGGTTTTTGCGTAAGCGGCCGATCGTAAACGCGTTTACGATCCTGATTACGCTTCGCAGGACAGCAGGCACTCTTATTACACGCGACCAGGAACGTGTTTAACAACTTCGCAGCCTTGCTCGTGCCGTAGAATCGCGTGTTATTGTCGGGCGGATGGTGGAACGGGAAAATACGCGAATCCTGGTAGAGGGCTGCGATCGGAACGGAATCCTGACTCGACGCTGTTAGGCAAAAATAGGAGAATTTTGTTGTGGCAGCGATGATATTAATTCGAGAAAAAACGTGAAAAAATATAGAGCCTGTGTTTTATGGACTATGTAGTATTGGACACTTTAATTTAGTTTTTATAATGTGAAGGGAGTCTGTATTATACTGGGTCGTTCGAAAAATTCGTTGCTTTTAAAGACTAGAATGAAAAAGGTAATCAAAATGACTAGATTGTATTCTTACTATGATGATTAAAATGTTAGAATAATGTATTTTCTCATATCTATCAGAAATTTTATTGCAATATGAAAATGAAGTAGTTGATTTGGAAATTTGTATAATTTTAAAAGTTTGTCGTGTTTATCTATATGATAGAAATATATGTACGTTTATTTTTGGTAGTTCATTAATATAATGTAGTTCATTAATATAAATTCTGAAACGTGTTGGACTGAAACAACTTTAAATAAGCTACCTTTTCAACGAGCATGTATTATTCAAGAGTCCCTCTGTATACGAACATTTTTCCAACCCATTTCCTTCGTTTCTGTATATTTATCAGGACCGTTGCCACAAGACCTTAAAGCACTCTTTTAAAAAATCATAGATAAACATTGTCCTGCTTGTTCTTGCCTCCAGGAAACTGATCTCATTATTCTGTACCTCGGGTCCATTCCGACCCTCTTACAAGGAGAAGGAACGTAACCAGAGATAGTCGTCTCTTTATGAAATTTCACGAGCGACCACGATAATATTATTTCACTCGCCTCGAAAGAAACGGATCTCTGTTTTTCCGCGTTCGTGGGGTCAATATCTACCCGGCCCACGCGGAGAAAGTATTCGCCGCAACGAGGAAATAAATTCCGCTGCGAGGCGTTTGTCCTCAACCGCTAGAATTCCGCGTTTTCAACGAACCTTCTCGCGTTTCCGCCCGAGTATTTCCATAAAGGACGCGGCTGTCGGGGGATTAATGTATCTTTACGGTGCTCTCCACGACGGTTTTCGTTACGTTACACCCCGTATAATATATCGTACGTGTTACTATACGGTAAGAAGGGCGCGCTGTGGCCCATGCCTGAAAAGGAGAGCGACTTCTGAAAGTTCCGTTTCACGGACGGCTCACAATACATGACGATATGTCACCTTTCTAATATCGGACTGCTCCGGATGAGTTATGACACGTGAACCAGCCAGAGAGGCTAGCACCTCCAGGCGATGAAAGAGTCCATGTCACCTTTCTTTCTTCGCCCTTTCGCGCCTCTTTCGTGTCCTGGACACCGTCAAGACGGCGGAGTTTAAGAACTGTAGAGGACTATAGGAAAATTTTGCCACTCGTGAAGCACCGATCGAATTTTCAATCGAGTAATTTCGAAATTTAAACTGGTTACTATGGAATCATTTCAAAGGGTGGATAACGGTCATGAATCTTCGAAAGGAGGATCTTCTTCATTTTCACGGTGTTTTAGAGTTTCACATGCTATTTCTGACCAAGATTTGACTGTTACCAACCCCTAAGACATGGATTAAGGGTGGCCGAAAGTTTTCCCTGGAATTCCCTTCTACCTGCTATGCTCGGTTCTCTTCGACCTCTACTCCTTTCCTCGTTTCCGGCGCGAGGAAAAACTGCGGCGAAACGGAAACGGGAGAAAGGGCACATGGATGGTAGAAAAGAGAGAGAGAGAGTGGAAGAGCGACCGGCTGAATTTACAGCATTTAATATCGGCAAAATGAAGTACGAGCACGGCCGAGAGCGGGCAAGGAGCCGCCATTTTGCGGCGTCGATAAATCCATTTTATTGCCGTAGCTTGTAGGTGGGCGGTCTGACTGCCGGTTACCGGCCCTGCCTACGCCTATGCTACTCTCGGTTGTATAACAAACACCGAATAAAAACTAATGCGAGGTCTCGCGTCGCCGCAGCCACCCCTGGACAACCCCCTCGCGGTGCACCGAACGGTCCAACTTTTTGCGATTTATTCGCGGTCTCTGCTCAGCCGGTCCCCGTCTACCACTGTGTATATCGGTGTATTATTATCGGACAACGTGAACACATCGTGTATTCGATAGTTGGATCGAAATAGAGTCGTCGAGAGTACAGGATGCGATCGTAATTACGATACAATCAGGAATGGGGTGATTCTTTACACGACGACAGATCGAGAATAAAATGGAATTATCTTTTCGATGAAGTTTTGTTGCAGTGAAGTTGATTTTGAAACACTATGGACACGATCTGTTTTTTCGAATGTTCTTCTACTCTATTTTACAGTTTTACGTGTTAATAGTGACTCTCCAACGGACGATATTAATAGATTGGTGGAACTTACCGCATCAGATTGGTAGATCAAGGTTGAATTCCTACTTGTTGAACTGTTATCACTATTACTTTTAGTTAGTATACGGAACAATCTTGAAGATCCTGGTGCAGCAAATACACTTTCGGCCTTGTCCTTACTGTCTTCACGATGTAACTGCACACGACAAGTTGCACAAATGAACGTAAGAATATGATGTAAACGACACATCTTTGAAAATATATTCTTTGAGATTCTTTCGTACAACGGCTATGTCCCTTTAGAGATTACAACACCACTGACGCACTAGTTTCGGGAATCGATACACAAATTGAGAGACGCGTGCCGTATGGAAGTTGTCCAAAGACTGAAAACTTGGAAGGACACAATACATACATAGCGCCCTACAAGTTTATTGCCATATGGGAGTCACCTCGTGAGTAAAAAATAGTTTAGGAACACAGTAATATGGGTAATACCATTGGGTATAGAATGTATTCGTTAAGAGTGACTTAGTACAGTTCTTTTGCAGGTATAAATGACCCCATTGAGACGGGTACGAGACCTCTCGATACGGGGCGCATCGATAGTCTTATTTTGTGAAAAATACTTCAACGAATATGGTAGTATTATTTTTTAACAACCTGCAGCTATTTGTACGCTAACACAGTCGTAAAAAACGAACGTTATCACTGATAGAACTGGACCCATATTATATTTCCCTCAAATTGGAACATCATATAAACTGATCTCTTACCCTATCGATTCGCAAGATTTTTCTCGCTCGAGGACTCATTTCAGCGTACTAGTCCCACGACCACGGTCGCACCACGAGGACTCGAGGAATCACGGTGAAATTTTTCAGAATTAACAGCGCGAAAGGCTTGGTCGTTGGTCATGGGAAGGGACGGGATTTTCGAAGCAGCGGTGAGGTTCAGAGTTTTCCAAGATGAAAGTTAATTCCGCTGGATAATCCAGCTTCGATGGGGGAGGGAAAGGGTAGCGCAACGAGGGCGAAGAAAGATCTCTCTCCTCGCCACCCCCCCCCCATCAGGCCGCCATTCCTTTTTCAGCTAAATCTTGGAGCGGATCGAGAGCTTCGCCGAATTTATGAGATTCCGGCTCGCGAAGGGATGGCCGGTCCGTGGGAGGGGGTAGGGAACTGGTGGTGGCAAGGGGAACGAAAAAGGGGGGATGAAACTCGGCGGAGGGATTAACTTTGTCGAGCCATTTTGTCGACCGCGAGCGAGCTTTGTGACCGGGAGAAAGACGTATTCCCAGCAATTAGCCGATCCTGCCCCCATGTCCGACTGTATGCTGGCGGTGTACAGGGTGCTTCTGAGGTAACGACAGATTTGGACGTCAAACGCTATTTTAAGACTGGAACGTCGAAGATCGGGGTAAGACAGACACAATTTACCATATGATTGTTATATACAGTGATTCACGTGTTTGTTCACAAACTTCTGAAATAACAATTAGGTATCAAAACTTTTATGTAATTTCTATTTATATATTCTCCTCATGCTTAGTTCTATCATCCTTTCGTGATAAATTTTTCATAATTTTGCAATAAAATTCGTATTATGGTAAATAATTTGGTCGAACAAAAGTGACAGTCCTTCGTGAACAAAATTGTTAGTCACTGCACGTATATATCAGTGAATCTGAATTTGTAATTTGTTGAAATCTAGGTCACCAGTGATCGATTAATGAACACAATCGCCGCGAAGGTAGTTCAAACTTCGTGACCTTATGTCTTTTAACAATTTACGAACCCGCCGGATATTCTTGCGGAACTTTGTTACGAATAACTTGGGCAGGGGTTTCCGATTCGACGTTAATGAAACTTTTCTCATTCGACGAACAAAATACCGTTTCCCCAAATTTTGGTCAGCGACTTCGGAAGCACTGTGTATGGAAACAACAACGCAGAATAACGTGTCGTTATAGAAGCTCGAATAAAAAGAAAAAAGGGGGGCCAGACGAAAAG